CAAGAGCCACATATTTGTGAGACAGACTTCTGATAGGATGCTTCCCTAATCAGGACAATATTAACCTCATCAAAAGCAAGCTCAACCATTATCTTTCTAGATAACTTCATAATGTACACTTCTCTTTCTACATCCATAACACAACCTCATTCTGTAACTATCTACCATGAGTGGCTCTTGGACCTTTTATTTACATGAACAATAGTATATATATATATATATATATATATATATATATATATATATATATATATAGATAGGATGTGATGGATAAATTGTCATCTAAATTACACAAAAATGAAAATGTTACTGACATCTTATTTTAACAGATATATTTACCAAAATTATACAAAAATATCTTGAAATACTAAAGAATAAATTTATTCAATAAAATCACCGTTGGCTTCAACCATGGGCTCCAGATGACTTCAGAATAAGCTGCTTCTCTTCTGGACAGTCTCTTTGTTTAAGTTAGTAAGTGCTGCCATAATTCTTGGCTTCGGTTCATCTTTGGTGTTACAAAGAGTTTTGTTGGTCTCTCACTCAACTGTGTTCCACACATAATAATCAAGGGGGTTGCAGTCTGAAGAGTTAGGTGGCCAGATGTAATGGGTGATGTGTTCGCAGAAATTGTCTGACAACCATAACTGGGTTCTCCTACATGTGTGGCATGGTGCAGAGTCCTGTAGCTAGATATAGGGTCATCCAGCAGCAATCCTCTTGATCCAGGGCAGCATAACCTCCTCAAGGCACTTGATGTAGGCCTTAGTGTTGACTCTGAGACCCTCACCAACAAATTTGGGAGTTATTTTTTTGTTAGAAAAATCAGAGTGAGTTTTCTGAGTTGCTGTAGGTTTGTAATTATCATTAGACACATCCAACTCTTTCCGAACCTTATCCACTGTTCTCAGATAGACACCCAAACACTCTGAAATGTTCATATTGGAGCTTCTGGAACAAATATCAAGCAGTACATCATACCATTTCCTAATTTCTGGTGGAGTGAATTGCGTCATGATGATCTTTTTCTCACAGACGGTGCCTAACTGACCCTACTATACTGTGCAGTCACCAAAATCAAAAATAAACAACGAACCAGCATGAAATTAAAAATATAAAATGGCGACAATTTGCCCATTGCACCCTGTATATATAAGGTAAGTTTTATCTCCACCAGGAAGCCATTTTCCACAGAAATCTATCTCTCTAACACACTCTCTCTCTCTCTCTCTCTCTCTATATATATATATATATATATATATATATATATATATATGTACATAAATCATTTTTATATATATATATATATATATATATATGTGTGTGTGTGTGTACATAAATCATTTGTATATATATATATATGTGTGTGTGTGTGTACATATATCATTTTGTATATATATAGATATATATATATATATGTGTGTATATATCATTTTATATATATATATATATATATGCATGTGTGTGTGTACATATATCATTTTGTATATATATATATATGTGTGTGTGTACATATATCATTTTGTATATATATATATATATATATATATATGCGTGTGTATATATATCATTTTGTATATATATATATATATATATATATATATATGTATTGTACATATATCATTTTGTATATATATATATATATATGTGCATGTGTGTGTACATATATCATTTTGTATATATATATATATGCATGTGTGTACATATATCATTTTTGTATATATATATATATGCATGTGTGTGTACATATATCATTTTGTATATATATATATATATGCATGTGTGTGTACATATATCATTTTGTATATATATATATATATATGTATGTGTGTGTACATATATCATTTTGTATATATATATATATGTGTGTGTGTGTACATATATCATTTTGTATATATATGCATGTGTGTGTACATATATCATTTTGTATATATAAGTGTGTGTGTGTGTACAAATATCATTTTGTGTATATATACATATGTGTATGAGTGTATATATAACATTTTGTATGTGTGTATATATATATATATATATATATATACACACATGAGTGTTTGAATTTTTGCATGTGTGTGTTTGTAAAACAATACAAAATGTTATATGTACACACACACACACACACTTATGTAGAGATATATGGATAAATATGTGTCAGTGATGGACAGTGTTATTGTCATATTGTACTGAAGTTGTTTGGAAGTGGGCGGTCAGAAGACAAGTAAAAGGCGAGTGGCCAAGGAGGTGCATGGCTGGTTGAAATAGGTTCTTTGCAAGCTAGATGCTGCAAGATACTGACTCCACGGACCCCTGTTTCCACTCAGCTGAAGCAGAATGGTGAATTGATCGACCATCTTGCACTCAATTGATTTACTATGACTGCTGATTTCAGCTGGGAATGTTTTTAGCCAGCATGACGGGCAGGTTTTCTATAAGGCCCATTGTTAGAGGCCACTCTAATAGCACAAGGAGAAGATGTATTTGAAGAGGTTGAAAGGGAGAGAATAGGAAAGGAAAAGGAAAAGGAAAAAAAGAGATAGAGGCTGCTGCTGCTAGTGAGGAGGAGGAGAAGAAATTACAGAAAGATAAAGAGATGTAAGGGAAAAGAGAATTAGGAAAAGAAAGGAAAAGGGAAAATTAGGAAGAAAAAGAAGAGTAGGAAGAAGAAAGAGGAGGAGGTTGTTACTGACAATAATGGGGATGAGGAGGAAGAAGAATGGAAATCACTAAGAGAAAGAGGTGTGAATAAAAAGAGGAGGATGAAAGGAACCATGTAAGTGAGGGAGAGAAATATGGAAAATTAAAGTAGGAGATGGCAGGAAGGAGAAAGTGGGGAAGACCAAGGTGAGATTAAAAAGTGAAAGATGATAGAAGAGTAAGGTGGAGAAAGAGAAAGAAGAAAGATTAAGAAGTGAGAACAGGAAGGAGGAGAGAGGAAGAGGAGGTATAGAAATTAGTAAGAAGAGGAAGAAAAAGAGAAAGATGCTAGAAGAGTGGGTTGGAGAAAGAGGAAGAAGAAAGATTAGGAAGAGAGTGGAAGGAAGATGAAGCATAGTCATTAGGAGGATAAAGATGACAGTAAGTAGAGTCGGTAGGAGAAAGAAGAATATTAAGAGAGAGCTGGTCGGGAGAAAAAGGAAAAGAGAATAGAAAGAGAAAGATGAGAGTAGGAAGAGGGAGATGTGTGAAAAGGACTAGGAGAGAGAAATTAAGAGGAGAGCAATAGAATTAAGCAGAGAGGGAAAGAGGAATAAGAACAGTGAAAAAGAAGAGGAAGAGAGTAAGAAAAAAGAAATAGAGTAAGAAGAAAAATAGAGTTCAAAACAAGAATTTGTCAGGAAATGAAAGAGAAAGAAGAGAAGGAAAAGAAAAGATTAGATTGATAAAATGAGACTCCTTTTCATTACATCATTTACTTTCTTCTTCTCCTTCCTAATTCTCCTTCATCAGGATTTGATTTCATTTTTTGCTTCTTCGTCTTATATTTCTCTTGTCTTGCTTACTGTTCAATCTCAGTATTGATGATTGCCTTCTGAGACAGCAATAATATTTTGATCAAAACACCAATACCCACAAAAATGTGGCCTTTTGCCACTCTTAGGTATACCAAATAAATATTGAATTAATATTTAACTTAAAAAAAATCTCAGAATATAAAATATTTTTTCGCATAATTCCAAATAAATCTGCTTTTGGCTCTCTCTCCTTCTCTCTACTATCTTTTCCCCTCCCTTATTTATATTTATTATTTTTCTCTTCTTTTCCTTCATTTTCTTTTTCTATTCTTCTCTTACCCTCTTTTTCATGTTATCAAATCACTCCCTTTCTTTCTTTCTCCCTTCTCTCTCTCTCTCTGTCATTTTCTCCCCCCTCTCTTATTACCAATCGTTTTATAGTTATATTTTTCTATTCTCTTTTCCTTTTATCAACTCTTTTTCTACCTTCTGTTTCTCACTTGCTTTCTTTCTCTCTCTTTTTCTTTACTTCTCACTTGCTTTCTTTCTCTTTCTTTTTTTCTTTACTTCTCACTTGCTTTCTTTCTCTCTCTCTTTTTCTTTACTTCTCACTTGCTTTCTTTCTCTCTCTCTTTTTCTTTACTTCTCACTTGCTTTCTTTCTCTCTCTTTTTCTTTACTTCTCACTTGCTTTCTTTCTCTCTCTTTTTCTTTACTTCTCACTTGCTTTCTTTCTCTCTCTCTTTTTCTTTACTTCTCACTTGCTTTCTTTCTCTCTCTTTTTCTTTACTTCTCATTTGCTTTCTTTCTCTCTCTCTTGCTTTTCCTAGATTAATTTTTTTTTTCTTTTGTCCTTCCTTTTTTTCCTTTTATAACTTTCTTTCTATCACTTTCTATTTAACCTTCCTCTTTATTTCCCACTTGTTTTTGCTCTCGTATTTTCATATTTCTCCCTTCTCATTTGCTTTCTAATTCAGTCTCTCTTACTTTATAGTTATTTTCCCTGATTTTTCTTTTCTCTTTCCTTTTAAAAATTCTTTTAGTGTCCCTTCCTCATCCTATCACTCTCTCTCTCTCTCTCTCTCTCATCTATTTCTTTCATTCATCTTTCCTTCAAATTCAGGATTTTTCTCTTTCACCAAGTTTTCTTTATTACCTTATTGATTTTTCCCTCTTAAATCTTAAATTCTTTCAATTGTTCTCTTTCCCTTTCATTATACTTACACTTGACCCCTGCTGTTTTTTGAAACCTCATTCTCTTTCTCTTTCATTTTCCTTCCTGTTCTTTCTTTCTTTTTTTTTTTTTATCTGTCTCTTCTCTATTCACATTTCTTTTTTTTTATTTTCTTCATTTTTCCCTTCTACACTTTTTTTTCTATATTTCTTTCATTTTTTTTTAACTGCTCTACGTTTTTCATATCCTAGTCTTTTTTCACTCCCACTTGTCATACATTTTCACTTCCTTCTTTTTCCTTTCATTTCTTTCTCTCGCTTTTTTCTATATTTTTCCCCTGTTCTCTTTATCTTTCTTTCTTACTTCTGTTCCTGACCGTTTTTTCTAAGATTCTTCATTTTTTTTTCTTGAATGATTCTCTCTTTTTCTCTTTCTGCTATTTTCTCCTTTTATCATTTTTTCTCTTTTCTCTCATTTTTTTTATGCACTTTCTTTCTTTACATCATTATTTTCTGTTCTCTTCTCTTTCTCACCCTCACTCTCATACTCTTAGTATTTTCCTGGTCCTTCTTTTTCACCATCTAATTTTGACTCTAATCTCAGTTTTCTCCTTCCTTTTGTTGACCTAAGTCTCTTAATTGCTTCCTTCTTTTTACGTCTTTTGTTCTACCTGTACTTTAAAACATTACTCTGTCTTCCTCTCTTCTTTTGTTCCCTGTTCTCTTCTTACATTTAACCTCTTCTGAATTACTCTTTCTTTTCTTACACTATTTGTTTTACCTCTTTCCTTTCTCTATTATTTTCTTTCTTTTTACTCTCTCATTCAAAACATCACCTTTCTTCCTTGCATTTGACATTTTTCTGATTCATTCTTCACTCATTTTTCTTCTCATAATCGTTTCTTTTTTTTACTCTTCTCTTCATTGCTTACTCCCACCCTCTGTTTTTCTCTTTCACTTTCTTTCCTTCTGTTTTACTCCACTTCCACTCTTTTTCTTCCTTTCCTTTTATTACTACACACTCTTTTTCACTTTCTCTTCCTTTCATTCTTTTTGCTTCACTCTCTCTTTTTTTACCTTCCTTTCCGATTTTTCTGCTTTGCAACACCCTCTTTCTGTTTCACCTTCTCTACTTTTCTTTCTGCTATTCTTCACGCCCTCTATTTTTTTATATTTCTCTTTCTTTCTTCCCTATTTGTTTCTCTCTTCCTTTTTTTTCACCTTCATTTCATTCCTTCCATTTTTCTCCTTTTTCTTCGTTTCTATAATGCTTCATTCTATCTATCTCTGTTTCACTTTGCCCTATTTTTTTCTCCTTCATTTCCTTCTCTTATTCTTCATTCTCTATCTTTTTCTCTTTATCTGTTTTTCTCTTACACCATACTCTCTTTCTTTGTTTTTCTGTTTCACTTCACTCTCTCTTTTACTCCCCCTTTTTCTTTCCATTTTGCTTGCCCTCTCTCTCTATCTATCTATCTATCTACTGATTATCCCCTCTCTCTATTTTCTCCTTTTCCTTCCTGATTCACTTCATTCTCCTTTTTTTTTTTTCTGTTTTGATATTTTCTCTCTTTGTCATATTTGCCATCTTTTCTTTAATGACTTGCCCATCTCTTTTACAGGCTCCATTTAAAAGCAACACAACAGAATAGAAAGAAGTTGATTACTCTTTGGCCTTACTCTCCATCTCATTTTTTTCCCCCCTCTCTCTTTCATTTCCTATCCTGTCCCAGCTGTTCCCATTTATCTCACTTTGGCTCATCTCTTCCCTCCACTTCCAGCTCCGCCCTTTCTGGTGATTCCTGCCGGGGACTGTTTGTTCCAATGTATGGGAAACATTTCTAAGGTATACCATTCAGAGACTGTAATTCAGGAATCCAAGACTGTAAGCACTCACTCCATCACCACTACAGCCGCTTGCCACAAAGAAACACTTCCACCAATCCCACCATTACAGTCTTCACTCACTCACCTGCTCAGCTTTACAAATACAGGTAGCATAGAAAAGACACACACACTGAAATACATATGAAAGTAAATGCAAAAACACATACGTACGTACTTATATGTCCCTACACAAACTGACAAATATATGAAAGTACAATGACCTTTTCTTGACCTATGGTCCAAGAGCTACACTGATCACACACACACACACACATATATGTAATGTGTGGGTATAGGCACAACTCCACAAACATACACATAGATATATTATGTATGTACAGATATGTGCATATACATGGCTGTATACAAATATCTACACTTATACGTAGTTATGTGAGGGGTGCTGAAAAGAATTTTGCTCAACCCATTTCCCAAAATATGATAAAATGACCAAACATCAGAATTTTTTTGTAGGGCTTCTTGGTTGAGCCAAAAAATTTTCAACATGCCTTCTGCATGCATGCACACACACACACACACATAAATATATATATATTGCACATACAGAAATACAGATATATGAAAGGACTGATATCTAGATAGAGGAATTGGTTTTGATAGATATGAAGAGGCTAATAGAGAGAAGGGCATTAAACATTGGCATATATATATATATATATATATATATATATATATGCAAGACAAAACTTTAATATATTACCTGCATTTCCACATGTATAAAGGTATATAAGTGTTAATCAGTAACTGTTAAATGCACATATATTTATACAAACACATATATACAAATATGTTCTACTCTTCTATTCATGAAAATGCCTTAGGCCAAAAACAGACTCTGATAGATAATAATATACATACTATTACACACACACACACACACTTATATATAATAAGATATATAGACGTATAGAGGATGCACTACTATAGAGTTGATTAAGAGCCTGTAAGGAAAAAAAGATGTTGTTATGTACTGAGCACTTTTTTTCTTGGACTTTCTTTAGCTTTTAAACATAGACAGTCTTTTCTTTATCTCCAAGGTCCTCCATCTGGAAGCCTAATTCTCATAACTAGGTCTTTGCTCTTCCTGGCATTATGGCCAATATGAAAGATAGACACAAAGAAACTTGGGCTTGAATAGCTTCGAATGAAGAAAGGTGTCGGGGGTGAATGAATGGAGAGTGGAAGTAAAAAGAATGTCCAACTCATATCTAGCCCTCTTTCCACTCCCATCAACATCTACTTTTTTCACTCACTTCTCCTTTCAACCAAGCAAGGATAACTATATATATATATATATATATATATATATATAAGGATGGTACAGTGGGGACAAAGCAATATAGTAAATAGTCAAGATTAGGGCTTCAAAAACGAGAAGTTGTGAAGGGCCATGATCACCCATGTCTTGAATGGTCATGGCATATAAATACTGATGATTCTTGTTCCGGCAATGAGTTCTATAATAATTAAAGATAATTTGCAGGTACTAGGAAAAGTAGTGGAAGCCTCAGTTTTTCTGAAGAAAAACAATCTCCCTCCTATGAGCAAAACGACAAACAAAGATATTATAGTTCAAAGTCATTAATTTTTCCCACCCTACACACTTGAGAAACAAAATCAAAGTGAAAAAATTGTGGTCAAATCAAGCAGTCCCAGAAATTTACCTATCTTGGTAGTATAGTTGCAGATGAAAGAAAATGTAACAAAAATTTGAGACATATAAGAATAGCAGAAGATGCCTTCCAGGAGCTAAGCAAAATATTAAGAGATAGGAAAATTTTGTTAGAAGCAAAAAATAGAGTGTTGAACAGCTATGTATTATCTAATCTCCTATATGGCTGTGAATGTGGAACAATCTCCTCGGAGAAGAGAGTTGAAGTGATGCATATGTTAACAAATGTTGAAAATACCATAGACAGAACATATTGAGCACAAAGAATTTTACACAAAAACAGGAGCTAAAAGGACACTTACAATAAAAAAGAAACAGCTTAAATTTTTGTGTCACATAAAGAGGAAAGATGGCCTAGAGACTTTAACACTTACATTGGACATTGAAGACAAGAAGTGCAGAGGGAAACAGTGAGTAACCTACTTAAGATGTGCATGTGATTAGATGAGAAAACAAGAACAAAAAAGGATAGTAAAGAGTCAGAAAGTTACAAAGAACAACAATAGACCAAATATTATGGAGAGTCATGATCACTGATATCCTGATATGCACATAGTGTAGTAGTTATCACTACAGAATCTGAGAGTGCTATGTTGAGTTCTCATTGTACTCCATTCCATTTTGTTCGCTTTTGCAAATATACACTTAGAAAGGTCTGCATCTATCTCTTTTCCCCCAAGATAGGGGTTAATAACAAGAAACTGAATTCTCTAGCTTTAATTAGCAACCAGTCTTGGAGAAGGACAAATTGGAATTCAAAACTAGATAGGTGTGTGGCAACTCCAATCTGTAAAAACCTATTTACTATAGCAATCAAAGCAGCAGCTAATGTGGCCCTATTGTAGACATATAAGTCTACAGGATTAACATGTATACATGAAAGGATTTTATTCTTTGAAGGACCTTGTTCAAAATTAAAACTTACAAGGTATGCATTAGTTTTTCAGTAGATGAAATGTTTCAACCTCTGTCGTACCTAAACTCTATGGATTTAAACATAGTAATAGATTTATGACATGGTCTCATCATTTTAAAGCTCAAATGGCTACATGTAAGCATAAGTTATGTGCTAAAAGTTTCTTTTCTCACACTTCTCACTTGGGAAATTCTATTCTGGCTTCTTTGCTTCCCAGTCAACTTTTATCTTCAAAAACTTAAATGCCGTCTCAATCTTTATCTTCTGTCTTCTTAATTCTTGTTATTTTATGGTTCTCTCTTCTTAATAGTAATTTTCTCATAGTTTAACACTCAGTAAGCAATTGCATCTTAGTGGCTTTATTACCTTGCTTGAAGTGATTAAAAAAAAATTCATAGAGTCTATGTACCATTAGAAGAATTACTATGAAGGTATTTTTAAAAAAGGCACAAGGAAGATACATTACAGTCGTGGAAAGTGACTAAAGCTGAGATGCCAGATCAAGATGAATGACATTGCAGATTCTTCTTTGGATTTTATCAAGAATCTCCAAAGATATAGCAGGAACTATATGTTATGGTTCGGTTCCTTTTACTACGGTGATAGTCCAAGGTAGAACCAATAAAGAAGAACTCGAAAACGGATATGGAATATATACAGAGAAGTAGAAAGTGTTAGTACGAACAATCAGGTTTAGTAGTAATTGTCTGAACGCGACTCTGTTTTGGACTGCCTCTGACTCGACTGACTGACTGACTGACTCGCTCGCTCTGACTGATTTAAAGACCCCTGATGGACTTCTGACTCCAGACTTCAAACTGAACTCTCCGCTTCTTCTTGAGGTGCAGTATTTATTACGTATAGAATAGTCCATTATGTT